CTGGGTAACACTCCCCTGGGCTCTGTCTCCCCTGATAGATTAAGATTTGGGACATCCCAAAGCAGTTGCTGTCAAGGAACCTCACAACCTGCAAGAAGGAGCTCATAGGCCATGCTCGCAGAGTGGGCCTGGTTGAGTGGCACCCCACAGCTGCCAACATCCTTTTCAGCTCTGGCTACGACTATAAGGTGGGTCTGTATATTCATTTCCTGGGGCTGCCCTAACAAATGACCACAACAGGTGGCTTAAGACAGCAGAAATTTGTTCTCACACAGTTCTGGATACCAGAAATGCAAAATCAAGGTGTTAGGAGGGCCATGCCCCTTCGCAAAACTCTAGGGGAGAAACTTCCTGTGCTCTTCGAGCTTCTGGTGGCTGCAGGCATTCCTTGGCTTGTGGCTGTGTCGCCCCATTCTGCCTGCTCCTGTGTCTTTGTGTACTTCCCTCTTCCTATGAGGACACAAGAAATTGGAATTAGGGCCCACTCTAATCCAGTGTGACCTCATTATAACTAATTATTGTTTGCAAAGACCCTATTTCTAAATAAGGTCACATTCTGAGGTTCCAGATGGACATGGGTTTTGTGGATACCATTCAACTCATTAGTCTGCCTGCAGGGGACAGGTGGGTCCTGTCCAGAGAAGCTTCTGCCTACCCTGTTGACTCCCAAATTAGCAGGCAGTGGGCCCTGTGGATTGGGAAAATTCACATAGAAGACCTAGATTCTATTCCAACTCATCTCTGCTTCCTGTACGATTTGGGAGAGTCTCTTATCTTCTCTGGGCCTCAGTTTGCCAATCTGTACACAAAAAAATGGGGTTTGCAGGACCATAGCTGTGGCTTTTAGAATCTTCCCTTCACAGTGCTGTGGGGCTTTACAGAGCTAGCTCAGGGGCCTCACTGATGGAGAAAGGGTGGGGTGGGAGTGGTTTACTCTGCACACAACTGCAGGGGGCAGTATTCACATCATAGGTTATCGAAATGGATTGTCTTGGAGCTGAGCAGTGCGCAGCCTGTGCAGCCTAACACAGCAGCCCTGTTTATCTGTATGAGGTAGAAATTGCTGCTACTATTTGGGACCTGGGCTAGCTGTCCCCTCAGGTCCTCCTGGCATGGATGTTTTGTTGCTCCGAGGAAGATTGTGTTTTCTTTTCACTGCCAGGCAGCCTGACTCCCAGCTTCCCCCTCCTGCCACATGGCAGCTTCCACCAGACCAATAGATCCATCCTCTCACCCGAGGCCTCTTGGCCAGACTGCCATCTGCAGCTTCCCTCTGGGGATACTGTGTTTCACTGCAGCCTGGCGGGTGTGTGACTGTGAGGAACAGGGATGGGGGGCGGCCCCTGTGCTCAGAGTCGACTCACACCCACGCAGGTGATGATCTGGAACCTGGATACAAAGGAGGTTGTAATCATGAGCCCTGTGAAGACAATTGACTGTCACCAAGATGTGATCCTCTCCATGTCCTTCAACACCAATGGCAGCCTGCTGGCCACCACCTGTAAAGACCGGAAGATTCGGATTCTTGACCCCCGAGCAGGAACAGTCCTCCAGGTCAGTGGTGGGTCTGGGTCTGGCTTGGGCTCAGAGGAGCAAGGAGTGGAGTGGGGACAGAGGAGGCTTCTGAGCCAGGGCAGTGGTGCTGGCAGTGTTCTGGCCAGGCCTTCACATCTCTGCTGTCCTGTTGGCGTTGCTGGGAGATAGACCCTGTCATCATCATTTTTCAGATAAGTAACAGGCCAAAGAGAAGTTAAATGACTTGCGCACATTGAAAGCTAACTGCAGAGCTCATCAGTGTGCCTTAGCTCTGTCAGGAGGTCGGGGGACCGCAGGCCACCATGGTTTATCCACTGTGTGACCTTAGGCAAGCCACTTTCTGCTCTCTGAGCCTCTGTTTCCTTGTCTGCAGCAGTGGGCTATTGTTAGTCCTTCCTCTCAAAGAATTCAGTGAGCTGACCCAGGTGACCGTGCCTGCCCAGCCCAGTGCCTTGCCTAGAGTGGGTGCTCAGTAATCTTTCAGCAAGAGCATGAAGCTGGGCAGAAGTTTGCCTCCATCCTAGTTCAGAAAAATAACTCTCAACAAAAATATAGGAGGAGAGACTCCATGTGAATGGGAGGGACTCTGGAAGGCTTCCTGGAAGTGGTGCCCCTAGAAGGATTCTCAGGCAAAGCTGAAGTGAAAAAGGAAACATTCCAGGTAGGGCAGCAGCATAGCAAAGGCAGGGAGGCCAGAAAGCCCAGCTGCTGCCTGGCTGCACGTGTCCCTCCAGGAAGCCAGCTACAAGGGGCACCGGGCCAACAAAGTGCTGTTTCTGGGGAATTTGAAAAAACTGTTGTCCACCGGCACATCCCGATGGAACAACCGGCAGATGGCCCTGTGGGACCAGGTAAGTCTCCCTCACAACCCCACCCAGCTCCTCACCATCACCGTTCTGCCGAGCACTGGCTTCCGTCATTCATTCACTCACACACTCAAATACACTTGTTTCTTAAGCAGTAGCTAGTACAGCCTGCCTGGTGCTGAGCATCTAGGGATGAATAACAGGGAGGTGCCAACAGCTCAGTGGGGTGAGCCTGGACCTTGTGCTTCTTGTCATTCAGGGAGGGAGGAGGGCGTCAGGACCCCGGGGGAGGGGAGAAGGCTGCGGTGGGCACCAGGGGAGGGAGAAGGTGAGAGCCTTCTGCACAGAGGGCACAGCTGGAGCGAGGGCTTGGAGTGAGCTTCTAAGGCATGTGGGCAGGAGGAGCTGCCTCTTCAGGGCACCTGAGGCAGGTGGGAGGCGAGGGTGAGAGTCAGGCCAAGCAGTAATAATTTAAAAGAGCCCTTGGCTGGAGTTTCGAAGACTGGACAAATCGCTGAATCTTCTTCTTCATCTATTACAGTAAATAATAACGTGCGGGGCAGGGCTGGAATGGGATCAGGTGTGTGAAGTGATTTGTTAAAGGCATGAAGCTGGCAAAATAAAAGGTGGTGGTCTCTCTCTCACACACAGACATGCGCACACACACACACACCCCTACACACCTAGAGCTCCATAGCAGGAATGCTTACCTCAGAGAGCACCACTGAGGGCCTCCAGGAGTAACCTGCCAGCCTTCCTGGCCTCCCTTCCCTTGCAGGACGACCTCTCTGTGCCTCTCACCGAGGAGGACCTGGATGGCTCCTCGGGTGTGCTGTTTCCCTTCTATGATGTGGACACCAACATGCTCTACGTGGTGGGGAAGGTCAGCCTGGCATGGGAGGGTGGAGGTTGCCTGGCTTTCTGAGCAAGAGGCAGAACCGCCCCAAGTCTAGCCCTACTGGTGGCCAGACAGCAGCCTGGGCCCTGGGGATGTGGGGCAGGGGTAGGGGTAGGCCACAGTCCCCGGACTCTGCCCCTGCGCTGAGCCCAGTGCCCCTCTCCCACCGTCTTAGCTCCCCAGGAATACCTGGGTCAGGGCCTTAGCTAGACACCCCAAGCCAGTTCCTCCCCGGTTCTGGAGCCAGTCGGTGTTTACCGACAAGGGCACTTTGGAATTTGAGGCACAGCAGGTCTTCGCTGGGTAGGACCAGCTCAGTGTTTGGCATCCCTGGCTCCTACTCACTAATGCCAAGGGAAGTCCTCCCTCCCTCCCCACACCCCAGACACTATGACAGTGACAACCAGAAATGCCCCCAGGGATAAGTCCCGCAGGCTTCTCTCAGGACACACCACCTCTCACCTCCGCCTTGACCTCCCAGCGGCTCTCAGACAGGAGTGGGGTCTGGGCCTCTGCTCCCGGACCTTCTGCCTTGGAAGCACACGGGTGGGCTTCGAGTCATGGTTGTGGGCCCTGAGTGTTAAAATGAGGACCCCCCCACTGCCTTGGTGACATCCCCTGGTGTGAGTCGGCTTTGCCAACTCTTCCCTCACTGTGAACGCCAGGTTTCTGTGGCACGGCAGTGGGGCCAGTGGGTGCTGATGGAACAGGCTCTGAACTGTACCCTCCTCCTCCTCAGGGAGACGGGAACATCCGCTACTACGAGGTGAGCGCCGACAAGCCTCACCTGAGCTACCTGACTGAGTACCGCTCCTATAACCCCCAGAAGGGGATCGGTGAGTGTGGGACATGCAGGTCCCTGGGGCGGGGGAGACAGCGGTGAGTCAGATGTGGACCCTGGAGAGACTCCTATTCGGGAGGGGAGATAGAAAGTCAACTCTCCGACTCAATGGGAGCTGTAGTTGAGGTATGCAGAGGTCTTTGGGGTCATACAGGAGGAAGTCAGAGAAGACTTCCCAGAGGAGGCAACATTTGAGGAGCTGAAAGGGAAGCAGAGAACAGCATGGGGAGAGAATGAAGGCATTCTAGGCCAAGATTGAGCAGTTACAAAAGTAGCAAGGAGATGGGAGAGACTGATTTAAGAAAGTCCCTACATTTTAAGCGTGTTTGGGGATAAAAAACAGAACAAGATACAATTCTATGTTGTCTACAAGAAACCCACTTAAATATAAAGACACAGCTAGATTAAAAGTAAAGAGACAGAGAAAGATACCATGCTAATAGTAATCAAAAGACAGCTGGCATAGGTGTATTAAGAGCATCTGGGTCACAAGAATGAAATCTTGCCATTTACAACAACATGGATGGACCTAGAGGGCATTATGCTAAGTGAAATAAGGGAAAGACAGATACCAGGTTGCCTCCCTTGTATATGGAATCTAAAAAAAAACCAACCAACCAATAGACCCAGCAAAACAGGAACAGACTCATAGATGCAGAGAACAATCTGGTGGCTGCTTAGAGGGGAGGCGTTGGGCAAAATAAGTGAAGGGGATTAAGAGGTACAAAATTCCAGTTATAAAATAAGTCATAGGGATATAATGTACAGCATGGGGAATGTAGTCAAAATTGTTGTAATAATTGTATGGTGACATATGATAGCTAGGGATCACTTCGTAATGTATATAAATTTTGAATCTCTGTGATGTACACCTGAAACTAATATTGTATGTCAACTTCAATTAAAAGAAGAGCATGTGGTGCTCGCTTTGGCAGCACATGTACTGAAATTGGAAGGATACAGAGAAGATTAGCATAGACCCTGCGCAAGGATAACATGCAAATTCATGAAGTGTTCCATATTTTTTTAAAAAGTGAAACTGTGGATAAAAGAGCATCTGGGTCATGAGCTGTGGGGATGGCTTAGGAGGGCCTTGAGCAGAACATACTTTCTTTAAAGTTCCAGCTAAAACCATTTAAATCCAGGAAGGTGGGGACAGGTCTGATTATTTCAAGCCCACATCCCCTGCATAGCTCAGTTTGCTCACAAACTGTTTGTTCAGAAGGAGAGTGGGAGGAGTGTGGTCTCTGTTCACATCCAGGTGTGCGGCCTGGCTTTGCCACTCACACCTGGTCCCTGTGGCCCCAGCCTAGCTGGACCCTCTTGGCCCTCCTACTGTCTGCCCGCAGGTGTCATGCCGAAGAGAGGTCTCGATGTGTGCTCCTGCGAGATCTTCCGCTTCTACAAGCTGATTACAACGAAAAGCCTCATCGAGCCTGTATCCATGATTGTTCCCCGCCGGGTAAGGGTGGTGGGAGCCATCTGTGTGTGGGGGAGGCAGGGGACTCCTCCTGGAGAAGACAGTCCCCGGGATCTGGAGCTTAGAGCCCATGCCCTTGGGGCAGCAACAGGCAGGCTGATGGCCTCTCCTAAGGGGAAGGCCTTCCTCGTGGTCAGTGGGCATCCCTGGGACCTAGGAGTTTTGAGTCCTGCTCTTGAGTTGCTGTGTGACATTGGACATGACCCTGTGCTTTCTGGGTCTCATCTCCCTCAATTCACAGGGGTCAGGGGAACCCGGCCCCCCAGCTCTGTAAGGGCCCTCCCGGTCTGGGTGGCCTCGCCTACCTCCCCAGCTCTCACTGTTCCGGCTTCTCCTACAGTCAGAATCCTACCAAGAGGACATCTACCCACCCACGGCAGGGGCCCAGCCCTCTCTGACAGCCCAGGAATGGCTCCGGGGGATGAATAAAGGTGAGAAAGGCAGAGGAAAGGCTTTGGGTAGATGTGGAGGGCAAGTGGAGTTTCTAGTGGCCCCAGGCAGCGGAGAGGGGTTTGGCCTGTATTTGTACCCTCCTGTAACCCTGGAGGACTGGTCCTTGACAGTCAGTTGCAGTGGCTAGGATGGCTGCATATGGGTTCAGGAAAGGAAGGGCTTGTCCTGAGTGGCTCAGGAAACTCCCTCCAAATCAAGGGGTTTTGCTCCATGGAAAACGTCTCTAAGTTCTGGGCTGTGCAGAGCCTGGATACTCTCAGCCAGATGCTGTTGCCATCCCCCACCCCCACCTCCACAGTAACTCTTTGCCCACAAAGACCCTCTCCACAGTCCCTGCCCTGTCAGCATAGGGGCCAGCCCAGGGGTGGGCCGTGTGTGCTCCCCACCCCTACCCTGCAGCTGCTTTTGTGATGGGGCTCTCCCTCCCCACTTTGCCACCCATTATTCTTGAATAATGCTTAGTCTCACTTCTCTCTGGGCCTCGTTTCCTCCTCTGTGTCCGTGATGCTGCCTCCCTTGCTTCTCAGAGGTTCTGGGAGGAGAATCATGAACTGGTAGATGGCTGAGCGCAGTGTGGCCTGTCCTTACAAAGCAAGGGCAAGGCCTCACAGGGCTGCCCTGTGTTTGGGGGTAGTCCAGGGCACACCCTGCGTGGCTCCTACCAACCAAGCTTTGCTTAATCACACGAGCATGTGTTTACACTCTGATTGCCCTGGTCTGTGGGTTCGTGCCTGGCCACATGTGGCCATATCTCCCATACCTGGCATAGGTCTCTGTGTGTCTGCATGCCTGCGTATGTCAGTGTTCCCCAAGCCCAGCTGCTCACAGGCACTAATCCTCATGTGGCTCTTTGTTTCCCTCCCAGGGCCAGTCCTGGTGTCCCTGAGGCCTGGCTCTGGGCTCCTGAGTCCCTGGCCTCTGACCCCGGAAAGACCCCTCTCCAACTCCATGGCCTCTGTCTCGCCTCAGCTGTTTGACCAGACACAAAAGCTGGCTGTGGAAGATGGCCAGAGGCCCTTCTCCCTGCTGTCAGAGAAGGTGCCAAGGTGGGCAGCAGAACACAGGCTGGAGGAGAAGAAAAGTTGGGTCACAAATGGCTTTGACATCTTTGAATGCCCCCCACCAAAGACAGAGAACGAGGTGTGAATGAGGGAGGGGTGGGCCTGTACTGGTGGGGGGAGCACCTGGGGTGGGGGTTTGGAAAATGTGGGGTGAGAAGAATAACCAGCTGTGTGGCCTGGCCAAGCCACTTAACTCACTTTGTTAATTCCTTCTACAAACAGGTCGTGAGTACAGTCTATATGCTGGGTCTGTCTGGGGGGTTTACATACATGTGGTGGGGAACTACCTGTAAAATCGAGTTTGACTTGGTTGGTATTAATGCCCCTTCCAGTTCTGACACTCCAGGGTTTTCTGTGCTTTCAAAGTCCACAGTTGTTAAGTGCCTGCTGTGTGCAGGTCCTGCGGTAGGCAGTTTATATTACCTGAATTCTCTCAACAGCCCTGTTAGTCAGTATTAGTGTCAAAAAATACAAGGGCTGGTGTCTCACAGAGGGATTCTGATCTTGGCTCTGCTAAGCACTAACTGGAGGACCTCAGACCAGGGACTGAAGCTTGAATCTCTTTTAGCTTCGGGTCTCACAAGTGGTAAAGTGGGGACACCATTACTACCACCCTCACAGGGCTGTTGTAAGATATATATATCGAAAGTCTTTAGGGGGAGCACCTAACATCTAGTATCATTCTTTACAGCCACAGCAGTTTTGATAATGTTGAGGTTAGTTTTCTGACCCCCAGTTCCCAGAGGGGGGAAATTGAAGCTCAGAGAGGGTGGGTAACATGAGCAAGGTCACACAGTTTAGCAGTGAAAATAATCTCTAGACTTCAGGGCCAAGTTATACTTACCTCCATCCCATGGGGGATCTAATGGGCAAAAAATGTCTTAAACATCAAGTCTTTTTAAACTTCATTTATTGGGAGAAGAAAACAAGATTTTTATAAAAGTTATGCAATGGCTGCGCCCTCAGGCCTCAGCCACCTAATCACCTCCACCTTTCTGAGTCCAAAGAGGTGCTGTCTTTTCCCTTCTGCTGGTGTCCTGTGCCCCTGCCACCCCCCACTGCACAGGACACCCATGTGGCCTGTCCCTGTGTTCTGTGCTCTCCCAGCTGCTGCAGATGTTCTACCGACAACAGGAGGAGATCCGAAGGCTCCGCGAGCTGGTGGCCCAGCGGGAAGTCCTGGCCAAACAGTTGGAACTGGAGATCAAAAACTTGCGGATGGGCTCAGAGAGGTTCTGAGCAGAGATCTCTGCCCTCCTTGCCCTCAGGGACACCACTCGGCTCCATGGTGAGGTCCAGAACCAAGCCACACACATCCCCTAGGAACAACCACAATTTCTATATTTTTTACCTGAAAATGAAATTCTCGGTTGCTAAAAGATTCTAGTGGGAGGGACATGGTGCCGTTTTCTATTTGCCTTCTCAAAACAGCCTCTGAATTGACTCTTTTTAGACGTTACTTTGCCTTCTGTTAAATTCTGTTCTTAAGGGGCCTTGATGAGCTGTAACTTCTCAAGGGAAAGAACATTTTAGAAAGTTAGAGTGTGAAGGGCCTGGAAGATAAACCTGTGATTTTCAAACTGTGGTCCATAAAAATGGGGGGATGGCTAAACAGGTGGGCTCTGTGCTCCCCTTCCAACCAGAGAGCTCCCTTTCTTTCTATTTTACATACTGGCTTCTATGGAGTACATAATTATGCTACTAAAAAAAAAAATTAGAAGTTTGAAAACTAGTGATCTGGCCCAACTTCCTCATTTTACAGGTGGGGAACTGAGGCCCAGAGAGAGGCAGGTGATGAAGGTCCCCACAGAGTTCATGGCAGGTTTGGGCTGAGCTCTTGGCCTTCTGGGTCCATCTTTCTGCTATTCCGGCTCTGATGTAGTTCTCAGCCCGCAATCTGTTGGTTCTGGCCTCAGCTGGGCTGCTGACTTGCTCAGTGACCTCTTCTTGAAAGTCTTGGTTTCCTCTCTGGTCTCAATTTCTCCATCTGAACCCAAGGACCCTGGAATGTGCTGCCCTTTACAGGATCTGCCACCTGAGACGAGGAACCTTGGCCTTGAGCTGTGGGGCCCTCCATGTAGGGCAATGAGCTGGGTTTGCTGCAGGAACTCACAAGACATTGGTGAGGGGGAGAGGAGTTTAACATCAGGGAAGTAAGCCAAGGTGCAGCCCAATTCTAGAACAGTTATGGGGCCAAACCATCCTCTCCTCAATCAGAATCAGCTGGATGTGGGTGGACACTATGCCATAAGTGGGGATTCAAGCATCAGAGTGGTGCCTATGACTACTGACCACCACCACCAAAGCCCTCAGGTCACAGGCCCTGCCTCCTCCAGCATGTTGTAGACAAATTTCAGCCCAAGGTAACAGAAATAAATGGTCTCCAGCAGGTAGGGTGCCCCAGCACTGGCAGTATGCCCACAGAGCCCCATGGCTGCACACTCAAGGGCTTCTGGAAAGGGATAACTGCCCCTGGCAGGGAAATAGGACCAGATGGCCCTGAAGTTCCTTTAGGGCTGAGAGCTTTCCTGGGTCCCTCCTTTGTGGATCTGGTTCTGAGCCCTTTCTCAGTGGCCGGTATAATATAACAGCCCGGCTATCATGTGGGGAGTGTTGGAAGCTAAGTGTGCCCCTCACCAAGGAGGTACAGGTGACGAGTTTTGCCCATTGCACAGGGTGATCCTGGCACTAAGTTGGGGACTGCAGGAAGCCACCTAGCCTGGTAGGTTTCAACCCAGGCTGTATATGAATTCCCTTGGGCACATTTAGGAAATACAGATGCCCAGGCCCAACCCCAGACCAATTGAAGCTGAATCTCCAGAGTCGGGCCTGGCCTTGGGTATGGTGTTTTTTAACTTTCCAAGTGATTCTGCAATACAGAGAGGGCAGAGCCTCACCAGCCTAGTCCATCTGTACCTACTTTCCATAAAGATGAGAGGACAGTGAATGTCTGACAGAATCTAGGACCCTAACCTCATCTAAGTCAAGGCTGGAAGCTCTTAAAAAAGTCAAGAAGCATCGTCCCAGGTCTCTCTGTGACCCCTGGCTGCAACGCGATGAGGGCTTTGTGCCCCTGATTGCCCTTCGCTTAGCCATGGCTGCATCCCCTTGTTTGCCTGCACATGCCAGATACCCACATTTCTTGTCTTGTTAACTCAGCCACTGGGGCTCGCCAAGCTTGCCGAAGGCCAAATCCCAGGCATTGTCAGGGAAGCCAAGCTCCACTGGATGGGGTTACCTCTCCCACCTCATTTGTGGCCACCACTTTACAGTTTACAAAGTTCCCCCACCTCCCCTCCTGACCCATCCTATTCCAGCATGAGTCAGGCAGGCATTATTATTCCCACGTTGGAATGGAAGATCTAGCCTCAGAAAATGAAGAAAGCCTCCTGCCCAAAGGCACTGGCTGCAGAGTGGTGGAGGCGGGGCTGTCTCCCATGCCGCCTCCGCCCAGAGCCGAGCCATCCCTCCTTAGACTCTTCGCCACCCTCCAGGGGCCCAGACCTCCTGCTTAAAACAAGATGAAGGCATCCAGGAACAAACTTTTTTTGTTTTTTTACATCTAGAATAAATTATTTAAATTATTTCACAGCAAGGGAGAGGGATGGGTAATTTTTGTTAGGTATTTTTTTAAGCCATTTTTAAAAATTATGTTTTTGTTTATGTTCTTAACTGCGCAAGTGGAACTTGTCCAGCATTTGCAGGGCCAGGCCCTGAACCCCAGGGCAAGCGGAATGTGCACTCATCTCACTGTGCACCCTGGGAGCCCCCTGCCTGTTGACTCAGGAACTTTCTGAGCCTGCAGACAGCACTAGGAGATGAGCTTTGGGGTGTATCCACCTTAGCTGTACCATAACTGTTATTCCTAAAACAAAACTTGAGATTGTATCACAGAGGGAATCAGGAAGTCAGAAATCAATCGATGCTTTTAATATGAAACCGTGCCTGAAACAGTTTGTTTTAATGTTTCTGAAATTCCTTATATCTTTGTAAAAAAAAAATTAAAGTGAAAATAAATAGATGTGGAATTGTGCAATGGAATGAACAAAATAAATAACATCTGCCTAGACATTTTAATACATGGAGCTTTCTTTTTCTTGATTAGTTGCAAAAATACCAATTAAGTACCTAGTTGTTTGGGCTAGACACCAGAAACCAGGCTGGGAAACAGGTAAGACAGACTTGGTCCCTGCTTTCCGAATTTTCAGTCATGGTTTGAGGGAAGGGATTACCCAGGATAAGGGAAGTGCAGGCTCTTCTGGGAGGAGAAGCAAGGAAGGCTTCTTGGAGGAGGTGATATTTAGGCAGAAACGTGAAGGATAAATAGGAGTAAGCAGGACAAAGGGCATTTGGGGAAAAGTGTTCCAAGCGGAGAAAACTGCCTCTTTCCTGTTCTAGACACAAAGGACGGGGCATAGACAAGCAGGAATCAAGGGCATTAAGAGCCAAGGGCCTTGTAGGTGGGAGCTGAGAATTTTTCTTTCCAACTTAATTTAGGTATGAATGACAAGTAAAATTTGTCAAATTCTCTCTTAGGGAAACGGCAAGAGAGTTGGGAGAGTGAAAAGTGTAGGTAACACACACCATGCAGAAGGGCCACAGGGCTGCAGTTTTCTGAGCTCGAGAGGACTAGCGTCACAAAGCGAGGAAGCCCACCTCCTCTCAGCCCATTCCAGCGAGTCCGCATTTCTGCTGTGGCCTCCTGCAGGCCAGACACGGGGCTGGCTAGACCAGGCCGGGGCCCTCAGCGCCGGCTGAAAACTGCTGGGGCAGGTGGGGCGGGAGATCTCTCTAGAGCGCCGGAGGCTGCGGGGGCTGCGGGGGTGCCGCTACCGCCCGCCGGCGGCGCCCAGCCACCCTCCCATTCCGCCGCTGGGACGGCCTAGGGTCGCCCCGCCCCGCCGCCTGGGTTTCGATTCTCCTCTCTCACCCTGCGCTGCGGCCGCGCGGGGCTGTGGGGATGAATGGCGGGCGCAGCGGCGCAAAGCGGGATTCCTCGGGGGCCGGACCCCGCGAAGCCCGAGGACGCGTGCGGCTGGCGCTGCCCGGAGCACCGCGACCGCGCGGCCGAGCTCTACTGTCGCCTCTGCCGCCGCTGCGTGTGCGCGCTTTGCCCGGTGCTGGGCGCGCACCGCGGCCACCCGATCAGCTTGGCGGTGGAGGAGGCGGCGCACGTGCAGGTGGGGACGCGGCGGCGCGCGTGCGGAGCGTGGGGGCGAGCCTGCGCTACGGGCGGGCCCCTCTGCCAGTGCCCCGGTAGGGCCTGGAAGCCAAGTGGCCCAGAGGTCATCCAGGCGGGCGACCCGTTGTTCCGAACGAGAAACTGAGGCCCAAGGAAAGTCAAAGGCGAGCTAAGGCCATCAGTTAAGATTCAGAAAAGATGGGTTTGGGAGTGAGAACTAGGGCGCCCCAGCTGGTACCCAGGTAACATTGCTCTCCGCCGTGGCGGGTGCACCACACTGCCTTTGGGCTGGAAGAAAGATTTTAATAAAGATGAAAATCCTTTCCTATTAGAAAGCAGACTTGTAGCCCCATAAAGCCACACAAACGCTACAGCTTCTCTCTCCTGCTGTTCACAGAGAGGGGCTGTGGACTGCTGACTGCCCTGGGAGCAGCCTCCAAGTCACTTCTGCCTACCCGGCTCCGCCCTTTCCCCTCCACAAGCTCCCATTCCGTGCTCTTAAGGGCCTCATGGGAACTGTGACAGCCATTTTATTGATAAGGAAAGGAAGGCTCTGGTGGCAGAGGCAGGCCTTGGACCCAGGACTTCACCAACTGCACTGTCCCCAAACTAGCCTGTTCTCACCCTAGAGCCCTCACTCATGCTTAATCTTAACAGGCGCCTTGGCCTGTAGACTCTCCTTTCAGCCTGTGGCTGGCTTTTTCTGTGGCTCTAGTCACAGAGCCTCTCTGGGGTGGTCAGGCCCACCTCCCTCTGACAGATGCTCATTCTACCACATCCACCTTCAAGAAGTCTCCCATAATTAATGACCTTTCCTTGTCATGGCACGACTTACCACCATCACACTGTGACAACCTTGGGGTTCCAGGTTGAGAATGAGCCCCCCAGCTGGTTGAGTCCTGGGTTCAAGGCCTGCTTCTGTCTCCAAGGCCTTCCTTTTCTTATCTATAAAATTGGTGATAATAGTTCTTCAAAAGGCTGCGTTTCAGAGATACAGCTTGTGGGAGTCATGAGAGCCTTTGAGAGGTAGGGCATTCCAGATACCCACCTACCTGTGTGTACCTGTTTTGCATCCACACACCCATCCATTCACCTGTTTATCTGCTATCCATTCACCAAACATCGATTCAGCACATGCCTTATGCCTTGAGTCAAGGAATAGATCAGTTCATCCCTAAGCTCAAGGACTTACCTGGGTGGTGGGGGGAGAACAGTGACAACTCAGTGATAAGTATTGTAATTGGTGAGCTAGGGACAAGGCAGTGTGAACCAGGGACCAGAAGCCTGGGAAGCCCTCTTGGAGGAGCACCGTTGGAACTGCTCTTGAAGGATGAGTAGGATTTCACCAGGTGCCCGGGCAGGAGAAGCACGCTTTGACTGGAGGGCATGGACACCAAGAGTCTGGTTTGTCCTTGGTTGAGATAGACTTGAAAGCTTAGAAATCAACAGGGCTGAGCATGTAATGGGTTCTCAGTTACTATTCACTCTGTAAGGGAATTCTCTTCCCCTGTCCCTAAACTGCTTGCCTTGTGGTCCTATTTGGGGGGCTGGGAAGGCAGGTCATAAGCAGGACTGTCCTAGAGAAAGTTGGAAGAGAGCCTTAAGGTTTGAAGAACATCTGCTGTGGGCTTCCGAGGAATGGAGGGACCCTGCTTCCTGCCGACTGCCGACTTGTCCCGTGGCTTTGGGCGGGTCACCTTAGCTTCTGAGTCTAAGATACCTCAGCTGAAACCAAATACAGAGATGAGAGGAGATGACCTCCGGGGTGCCTTCTTTTCTCAAAAGTTACAGTATTCAGACTTTTTTCCTAACTCCTTCACGTACAGAAACTCACCCAGGAATGTTTAAAGCAGTTGGCAACCAAGAAGCAACAGCAAGTTGGCAACATAACGCAGATAGAAGATGCTACTGAGAAGCTCAAGGCAAGTGGGCATTTGTCTTTATCCTAGGAGCCAAGGGGAAATAAAGACCAGCCTCATGGGCAGATCGGGTTTGGCAGGCCCTGGGGCTTCTGTAATTTGGGGGACTCTTTTTGAGGCGAAGAACACATAGTGACTGAAGTAGGGCCAACATCATAAAGGGAGGGGTCTGAGGCTTCTGTTCCATTAGTTCTGTGGTGACCCCACCTCTGCCCAGCAGCCTCATCCTGCCCCAGAAGGCCTCCAAAATGGAGTGACAGCCTTTCCTCCCACCATCACCAAGGCCTTTCTCTTGAGCGTAGTCCTCCACCCCCTGCATCCCAGACCACCTTAAACAGAGCAAAATACAGCATAGGGAGCATTCAGATAGCACTTTCGGTTTCACTGCTGAGTTGCAAAAAAGAAAATGGAGCATAAAGATATTGGATAAATACATACTTTCTTCAGTTTCTGAAGAATGATGAAAGAAGGCTTCTTTCATAATGATGTTTATTTAAGTGGATTCTTTTGTGGGTTTTAAATGGGAAGTGAGGGCTGATGTTATTGTGATCTGCCATTTTGACTGAAAGGTTGTTGGATCTTTAGGGGCCTTTTGTGTGAACTCAGCTGACCCCTTCCCCTCTCAGTGTCAACCACCCCGCGCCCGATTCTTGAAGTGGGGAATGGGGTAGGATGCTGTCCCAAGGCCTGTCCCACTGAGGGCTCTATCAACCCCGGGCTGACCACCAACAGTCAGGCAGGGAGACCAGCTCTGACCCGGGAGTAGCTGGCACCCAGGTCTTCTTGAGGCAAGGCCCTCAGCAGAGTGGAGATGCCGAGGCCCAGGCCAGGCCACAGAATTGGCCCTCTGTTGACCCTTACACTTTCTGTAAGGTGACTACGTGTCAGGAGTTTGCTGGGGACAGTTGTGGTTTACAACTATAGCCCTGGCTTAATTATTAATAGTGTCCCTCATGTCTTGAAGAGCAGGTCTCTGGGCTCAGACAAATACATCTGTTCAAAAGGATTTGGAAACTGAAAGTTGGCACACCCAAAGGGCTGGGGGCAGTGCTTTGGGCTGGTCAGCCAGAGGAACAAAGCCCTGGCTCAGGTTCCCCATCTGCAGATTAGGTTTGGGGGCCCCCAAGGGAATAGTGGGGACCCCATAGTTAGGGCCCATGTGGAGAGTCTAAGGAGGCAGGTTTCAGCTTAATCTAAGGAATGGTTTTCTTTTAACCTCCTTCCCAGTTTTTGAACTTTTATTTTGAATAATTATAGACTCACAGGAAGTTGCAAAGGTACTACAGAGAATTTTGGGGATCATTCACCTAGTTTGCCCAAGAGTTACATCTTAACAGAACTACAGTACAATATCAAAACTAGAGGAGCAACAGCATGTATATATAGTTCTGTGTCAGTTTATCACACGTGTAGATACAGATAACCAGCACTGCAGTAAAAACAAAGTAACTATTGCATCACCACCAATATCCATCTCATGCTACATCTTTATAGTGAACCCAACTATCTGGAGAAGGTGATCTTCTCCACCTAATAATCCCTAACCCCCTGCAATCACTAATTTGTTCTCTGTCTCTCTAATTACAGCATTTGAAAATGCCATAAAAATGGAATCATATAGTATGTGATCTGAGATTTTTTTTCACCTCAACATAATGCCCTTGAGATCCATCTAAGTTGTATCAATAGTTCTTTCCTTTATATTGCTGAATAATATTCCAGCAATCTAGTAGTGTAGATGTACCAAGTTTGTTTTCAACCTTTCACCTATTTTAGGACATTTTAGCAGTTTCTTGTTCCGGGCTATTATAAATAAACTGTCTTGAACAATTGTGTACAGGCTCTGTCTGGACCTTAGTTTTCACTTTTCTGGGATAAATGCCAAGTGCTAGTCCTGGGTCATATGGCACTTACATGTTAAGTTTTTTAAGAAACTGCCAAGCTATTTTCCATTTTCCACCCAGAAGCAATGTCTGAGAGATCCAGTGTCTCTCCGTCCTTGCCAACATTTCATACTTTCACAAGTTTGTGTTTTAGTCATGCTGATGGGTGTGTAGTGATATCTCATTGTCACCTTCATTTGTATTTCTCCAGTAGGCTAGTGAGTTGAATATCTTCCCAGGTGCTTATTTGCCATTTGTACATCCTCTTTGATGAAAGGTCTTCTCCTGTCTTTTACCATTTCCAGATTGGATTGTTTCTTACTGTTGAGTTTTGAGAGTTGGCTCTATGGAGGGTTTTTTTGGTCAGATCTGTGGTTTGTGAGTATTTTCTCTCAGTCGGTAGCCTGTCTTTTAATCATGTTAGCAAGGTCTTTTGTAGAGTGCAAGTTTTTAATTGGAAGAAGTCCCATTGATTGATTTTTTTTCTTTCAGGGATTGTGTTCTTGGTGTCATGTCTAAGGACTCTTTGCCTAACCCTGTGTCCCAAAGATTTCCTTGTTTTTTTTTCCTGTAAGTTTTATAATTTTACACTTTATTTTTAGGTCCATGATTCATTTTGAGCTAATTTTTTATGTATAAGGTGTGAAGTTTAGCTTGGGTTCTTTTTTGTTTGTTATGGATACCCAACTACTCCAACACCATTTCTTGAAAAGACTATGCTTTCTCAATTGAACTGCTTCTGTCACAAATCGGTTGGCCAAATTTGTATGGGGCTATTTCTGTGTTCACTATACTATTTCCATTGATCTGTGAGGCTATCCCTCTACCAGTATCAAACAGTCTTGATAGTATTGCTGAGAGTAAGTCTTCAAATAACTGATGCCCCCCACTTTATTCTTCTCTTTCAAGATTATCTTAGTTATTCCAGTTGCTTTGCCTTTCCATTTCTAAATTTTAGAATGATCTCGTCTATATCTATATCTACTTTGTTGGGATTTTGATAGAAATTTGTTAAGCCTGTATATCAAATTGGAGAGAATTGACATCTTTATTATGTTATCTTCTAATCCATTAACATGGTATATCCCTTCATTTATTAGGTCTTTTTCTTTTGTCAGCATTTTATAGTTCTTGGCATATAAATCCTTCAGTGGCCCTCAGAAAATAATGTAAAAAAGTGGAATTAGTGGTCAGCATTGTAAAGCTAAGAGGTATTTGTATAAAACTTGAGATGAAGAAAAGTAGGAAATGTGGCTTTCCTATGCCTACATTCCCAAATGGGAGCTGTTGGAGTTGAGCCCTCACACTCCCACAAAGAGGGCACATGCTCCCCAGATCTGTGAGACCCCACCTGTGCATTTTCCTCACCATGTTACCAGCCTGGCTCCTGTGGACATTGACATTTCACTTACTGGTCAAGAAACAGATTTTTTAAATTCTGGCCATAACTTTGCCACTTCAGGCCAACCACTCTTCACATTTTGAGATTTTTTTCCAGTATATGTATTCATGTAGTTTGAGACATATTCTATATGTATATACGTAATTCTAATATATCCCCACCCTGGAGGTGAGATGTGTGATCGTCATTTGTATCACTACCTTGTCTTCAGTAGGTATCCTCCATGGTGTTGCATATGCCCTGGGTTGTGAGAGTGCTCCTTCCGAGCACTGTGGCATGAGCATCTTGCCAGAGCAGCAGAGTCTTGAGTTTCAGCAATTCCAGACCCATTTTTATATGGATTTTTCAGTTTTGAGGTTCCATGAGCTCCAACTCCAAGCCTTCGACTATAAGCCTGTTTGGTTTCTTTGGTTTGCCGTGACTGTCCTTTTGCCCATGACCCTGGATGGATGACAAGATTCCTTGCCCCTTCCCCAGGCCAGTGGTTGAGTTTTTCTGGTGCCTTGCTCATGAATGCAGGAGTTCTCTGTGAATCTGGCTCAATACAGATGGCCCCCTTCCCACTTCCAGCTGGAACGATGCCAGATGTCTGGCGTGCCCTCCTGCATGACCCAGGCCCCAGCGTGGCATGGCTCTCACACACGTCTGCCACCCTCCCAGGGCAGTCAGTTCAGCTCCTGTCCACAGCTCTGATAGTTTGGGGCCCCAAGGATTTCCTTGTTTGTTTGATTGTGGGTTGGCTTGTTTATTTTGAACTTGGTCATACAGTTTTTATATTTGCTCATTTTATCAGCATTTCCATGTGTTTAAAGTGCAAAGAAGGATTTTCTATGTCCACTCCTTCTCTGTTATTGACCAAAACTATATGCCATTTTATATATGGGATTTTTATTGTTGTTTAAGATTATGACAGTTCCATGTGTCATTAAAAGTTCTTTATCAATGTCAGTATTAGAGTCTGTGTTTTTCATCACATGGATCAACCAAGACCCATTAAGACATTTTCCTGATCTAAATGGACATTTAGATCATTTCCACTTTTTCACTGAGGTAAAATAACACTGCAGTGGACATTTTTGGCACCTTGGTTTATTTCCTTTGGGACACACATCTAGAAGTGACTCAGGAGGTGCCGACATTTGTAAGGGTTCTGCATCTGCTGAGACGTGGCCGGGTTACTTTGTGGCAGGAAGTCTGGGACAACCATGCTGGTCTGTGCTTACACAAAGGCGATACTGCGGGAAAGGCCATTTGCCTAAAAATTAATCCATAAAACAGCTTTGTAAACAAATTAAAACCAGTAAAGTTCATACACGGTTCAAAGTCCACTGTTCAGAAGCCAATAACCAGGCCCGACCTACCACACCTTTACTGAGAACAATCAAGGACAACTTGCTCTTTAATCCCCAACCAGTACCCATTAAATGATTTTCTCTGATATCCTTGTTAATAGTTTATTTGCTTCCCCACATGGCCTTTCAGGGAGCCAATACATGTAGGTACAGGGAAAATTCAACTTTAGCTTGCCACTCTTAACCTTTTACTCAAACTGGGCTGAGGTGATAATATAGCGGAGTGGTTAGGTTCTCTCTGAATCTTCTGAATTTTCTGTAGTGAGCTTTTGATACTTTTATAAGTAAAGAATATTAAGAATATACATATAACTATATTTATGTAAAGGTGTATGTGTGTGTGTATAAATATATATATTTAAGGTTAGTTGCTGACTATTGAATCCAGACCTGGGTTGGGATTTAGAATGTGCATAGGCTGTCAGAACTGAAAGGCCCTCGGAGATGGGGGTGCCCTGGAAGAGGAAGTAACTTAATACTGGTCCCATAGGAAGGCAGAGCTGGATCTGGGGCCACAAATGTATCCATCAGAGTCCACCCAGGAAGACAGAAACCACTCTTGAGAGTTTCAGACAGAGAGGATGAATGCAGGAAATGGTGACACAGCCTAGAGGAGGTGGAGACAGCCAGAGGGTGGCGGGGCAGTTAGCACCAGCAGGAAGTACCTTCACCCCAGGTTTGCCCGTACAAAGGGAGAAAGTGACATTAGCCGAGAGCAGGGGCCAGGACTCCCTAGGCAGGTGCTGGAACCAGAGCAGACCTGTCCTTTGAGAGCTGGAGGGTGGAGGGGACTCAGGGATGCAGCCACTCATGGAGAACAGTGCCTGGTGGGGAGGGGCTGCTCCTCTTCCCTTTGCCCTCTGACCTCCCTCTAGTTCCTCCTTCCAGTGTCCAAACCCTGCCTAAAGGAGGACCCTGGAAATTCAGCCTGCAGGAGTCAGTCCCTCTGCCTACAGAGCAGAGCAGGGGAAGAGCAGGAAATGGGCCTAAGGCATGTAGGCCTGGACTGGCCCCCGGAGGAGTGAACCACATGACCCCATGGGGTCAGGGGACCAGCAACATGACATAAATCAGCCTTTGCCAGACTGGGAATGGGAAGAGGAGGACTCAGCAGGCTGTGCTGTTAACCTGGACAATGCCACCATCTCTACCACCCGTGCAGCACATGGCCACACCTCCACCTCCCACAGGCCATGCCATGTAGCAGAGTCATCAGGGCCATAGCCAACATGGCCTGGCTGGGGTTGGAGAGCACACCTCCCTGCCTAGGTGGATGCCCCTCAGAGGCACCCATGGAAGCATTGTCCGAAGCAGGCTGTATGCAAAATCCCTCACTCCCCCATGACCAGGACTTCTTTGCTGCTCAATTTCTGTCTCTCCCACAGTCCAGAGACCCTTCTCAGTTGGACTTTCAGGGCCTCACCTAGCCCCAGCCCACCCACTCCACCTCAATCTGGGATCCAGTTTCACTTTGAACCAATGCAGCACAAACCAGACAGCATACTGCCTTCTTTCATTGCCAGAATTTGCCCTCTCTCGTTTAACCATATTGCATCAGCCTCATCTGCTGACACCTTGAGTTTTTTTGTGGATCTTGTCAGCCATTCCTGTGCTGAGAGTTATAACAATGTGGAGTGTCATTAAGCTTCTTTTGTATATTCTTGTATACAGAGTGTATCTGTAGAAACTGGTTGGAACATAGCTTGATTGGAAGGAGGTATTTGCCTTCTTGGTTTCTATAGAGAGGTTCTCCATTTACATACATTGCCTCAAAAATTGTTTATAAACCAAGGGTTTGGAATACATTTTATTTCCTTCATATGGTCATTCAGTAAAATAATATTTGTGGCCAGGTTCACTGACCCATGGAAACCATGTTGTCAGTGTAGGCTAATTCCCAGGCTAAACCAAAGCCTGTTTAATCTTACGGCGGTGTAAGCTAGCCTTAGAACCTAACCACTGCCGGGAACACTGTATGGGAAACAGACACTTCAGGAGCTCATCCCCCAGGTCCTGCCAAACCTTGCACCCCTGCTGTGCGTGGTACCACAGTGGAGCTGCCCACCGCCCTGCTTGCCTGGGTCCCAGGGGCCATTTGGCCATGTGGGCCACACAGATGTTTGGGCTGAGGAGAGAGGCTGGCCTATGTTTGTATTTTTTTCCAAATGATTTTCTGTTTTATTTTTTATTTGTACTAGTAATTCATGAACACATGCTCATTTTTGAAAACTTAAACAATAGTGTATCAGAATATATTGCAGTACTACTGTATGGAAAGTATGGAGTGAGAGCTGTTCACCATTCGCGGAGTCCCGCACCTCTCCCCAAACGTGACCGCAGCCAACGGACATGCTCAGCGCTCTGCAGACACACAGGCGCAGCACCCAGGCTTCCTCCACTGTCCTCAAGCACAGCGCTCCTCTGAAACCCTCCATGTGCCGAAATGGGGGAAGTAGAGGGCATCCCCACTTTCTAAGATTCATCTTAGGCCACTTGGCTTTTTCGAAAGACCTACCTTAGTACAGAAATAGCTTTTTTTTGGTAAAATCAAAAATCCTTCTTGGACTTCTTTCAGTTAGTGAAAACAGGCCACTAACGTAGGTCTTTTATAAAAGTGAAGTGGTAGAAAGCGAACTTCCAGAAACTGGAGGATGAGGATGGATTCAAACATAATTTTTGTTTTGTTGTCTTTTACATAGATGGGATCATCCCTGTATATTCTGCAACTTCCTTTTTTTCACTTGGTGTCTTGGAGAGCTTTCCATTCCAAGACATCTAGATCCACTGCATTCTTGAATGTGTACATGTGTGTTAAGATATGCATAACATATAAAAGTTACCATTTTAACCATGTTTAAATGTGCAACTCAGTAGCACAAATTATATTCACAATTTTGTGCAACCATTGCCACTATTTCCAAAACCTTTTCATTACCCCAAACACAACCTCTGTAACCATTAAGCAATTACTTCCCCTTTGCCTTGTGCCAGCCCCTGGTAACCTCTAATCTACTTCCTGTCTCTGTGAATCACCCTGTTTTAGATATTTTATGTAAGTGGAATCATACAGTGTTTGTCCTTTTGTATCTGGCTTATTTCATTTCATAATGTCTTCAAGGTTCATCCGTGTTGTAACGTGTCAGAACGCTGCATTCTTTTTAGTCACTATATATCGTTTCATTGTATGAACACAGCATACACAGTTCCCATATTGAAAATATTTCCCAGCTTTTCTCTATGACCAACAATGCTTTAGTGAGCATATTGGCACACAGATCTTCACATACATGTGAAAACACTTACCAGCAATTCAAGAATTGCTGCATCAAAGGATATATGCATTTAACATTTTGATATTGTCACATTGCCCTCTAAAAATGCAGTCTCAGTAGACACACCACCTGCAGTGTTATGTCAGTGCCCATTCTACGCACCCTCACAGACCTTGGTATTATCTGTCAGTTCAAATTCTTCCAATCTGATGGCCAAAAAATATTTTCAGGTTATATAGCTCATTTTCTTGATTGTTTGGGAGGCTGGACACCTCTTCATACATTTATTGGCACTTGCGTATCTTTGGGTCATTTTTTAATTGGATGATTTTTTTTTTTTTACTTTATATTATGAGAGTAAACCTGTGTAGTTTGTTACCTGTTGCCGAACCTGCCATGGCTGTCTTAGCTCTCTGAGTTTTGGGTTCCTCCTATAGAGCCTTCCATTCCCAAATTTTTAAAAATAAAAGTATTTTATATTTCATCCTAATAGATTGATTATTTGGGTTTTTAAAAATGTATAGTGCTTTATTCTATTTAGAATTTCTTTTTTGTTTGTTTACCTTTCATTGTGGAAAATCTCAAGTATACACACATATTTAGAAGCAAATCCTAGACATTTCATTTCATTTATAAGTTTCAGCGTATTTTCTCTACAAAGACTCATTTAAAAAAATATATCACCATAGTATCATCATCACACCTATGAAAATTAACAGTAGCTCCTATATATTAACATATATGTAATCATTTGTCACATCCCCAGTTGTCTTATAAATGTCACATTTTATTTCCTTGCTTGAATTCAGAGTGAAATAAAGTTTTCAAAATGCAGTTGGTTGATGTATTTCTTAAGTTGATGGTAAATAATTTGTTACTCTGTTTTCTATATGTGCTCTAAATTGGATCTTTTATATTTAGAGGCTTGATGAGATGCATATTTGCATTTTTTGGCAAGATTACTTCATAGGTGGGGTGTTGTCTGAATTTATTTTTATATATGGCATAAGATAAGAATCTAACTTGAAAATTTTTTTCAAGCACATGTTTAATTGCATGTTGTACCAGTATTACTTATTGAATAGTTCATACTTTCCTCCCAATAATTTGAAATGCCCCCATTATCATATATATATTTTTTTGGGGGGGGGTCATTTCTAAAGAATTTATTTTATGCTCTTGTTTTCCTTTTTGGTTTATGCCTAAGCCTCACAGTTTTAAATCCTTTGGCTTTACAGTTTGCTTTGGTATTTAATTAAGGCAGCTTGTCCCTCACTGATCTTTTTAAAGCAGTTTTTGGCATTTCTTGTGTTTATGCTCCCCCATGATAATTATGTTTGTTTAATCTCTATATTAAGACTTTAGTATTACATTGAATTTATGACTAATTTGGAAACAAACAGCATCTTTATAGTAATAAATCTTCCCAGCCAGCAATATGGCTTTTTCTTCCAGAGTTGTTAGGTTTTTTTTAAATGTCTATCAGTACAATTTTATACTTTTCTTTATCTAGGTCTTTACAGTTTTTGCTATGTTTATTCCTAGATATTTTGCAATTTTCTCCTGCCATTTTAAAAAGGATCTTTATTTTTCCTTGCATTTTCCATTTGGTTATAGCCGGTACTTAGGAAAACTTGAGTGTTTATAAGTTGATCTTGTACCTGCCTCGCCACCTTGCTGAACTCACTTTTTAGAAGCTATAATACTTTTTTTCATGTTGATTACTCTGGATTTCCTGGTTGGCCATCACATTGTCTGAAACTGGTTTTCCTTTTAGGCTCATGCAGAGGCAAGTAAAACCTGGCTGATGGGAAAATTCACTGAACTCAGATTACTACTTGATGAAGAGGAAGCAGTGGCCAAGAAATTCATTGATAAAAATGCACAGCTTGCCCTCCAGGTGTACAGGGAGCAAATGGATTCTTGTGGGGAGCAAATCGACGTCATAAATGATCTCTCCAGCAAGGTCTCAAGTATCAGCCAGGAGTCTGATCCTGTACAGCTGCTGCAGGTAATGCCGGGTTTCTGTTCTCACCCCGGACAGCTGACATCATCTTGGTTACCGTGGCACTGAACCTGGTATTTACACACTGAGTAAATACACAGAGAATTACCTTGTCAGCATGTAGACTTTCTTACCCTTCACTCTGGAGGTCAGAAAATATACATTAGGAAGATAATATATATCTTGGACTAATTAATAACATTAATAGCCACCATTTTTGAGGGCTTCTCTGTTCTAAGCATTTTATATATCTTAGCTCTAATATTTACTAGAACTCTGCAGAGTGGATTTTCTCACCCCATTTTATGAATGAGAAATTAAGGCCCAAGAGGTGAAATGACTCATCCAAGGTCACATGGCTGGTAGTTGGCAGAGCTGCAATCAGAACTCTGGTCTGTCTGACTCTTAAAGTCACATAGTGCCATTGCCCGGCCTTCTGCCTGTACAGTGTTCACGGAGACACTCCTCCTGGAAACAGGTATCTTTTTGCTTACTGAGCAGACTTTCAGCTAAGAGCTGAGTCACAGCTGCTCAAAAGGGGAAGAAGGATGGTACTCCTCTGCTCCGCTGGAGGCTATTACCGTATACTGAGGGGGAGTCTAAGAAATAGCCCCTATGCTGTTCATTATGTGAAAGCATGTTGTTGAGTGAGGTGAGTGTTCTGCACCAGGCCCCTGCTTGACTTTAAGAGCTCATGGCAGGGGATATATGCTCAGAAATAGTTATTTACAGCACAGCCCAAGCAAACCAGCAAAAAATGTGTCCAAAAAGGGTCCAGCTCTGTATGGGAGATCAGGGGAGACTTCTAGGAGGAGGTGACAATAGAGCTGGGTGTGGGAGGATGAGGAGGAGTTCATGGGTATATACAGAGGGACAGAGCAGAGAGGACATCCCAGGCAGAAAGGAACCATGTGCACATGACAGTTTGCCAGGCTAGGGAAGTACCAGGGTTCAGCCTGGCTGGAGGCAGAGCAGGGGTACAAGGGAGGGGGTTGGGGGACATGCAGCTGGATGGGGGGGCCAGGGTTAGTTGATGAAGGGCCTTATGTACCTGGCCATGAAGTTTAGACTTCATCCTATAAAGAGATGGGAGCCAGGGGAGTGTTTTGAACCGAGGAACAACATGGTCATTTTAAGGCTTTAGAAAGGTCACTTTGGTGATAGGGTTGAGGAGGGGCTGAGGAGGCCAGGACTAGGCTGGAAGGGAAGTTGGAAGGAGACCCAGCATCCAGGAGAGAGTGGCCTGGACCAGTGAAAGGGCATGGGGATGGGGAACAGCTGGGAGGTTTGAGAGATGCAACAGGATTGCTGTTTGGAAGTAGGAAGAGTCTAAGATGCTCAGTTTCTGGCTTGAAAGATGGGTGGCCAGGGAGCTGTTCTTTGAGTCTGCAAAGGTGAGAAGCAGGTATGCTTGGTTTTTTTGATTCACGTTTTCCATCGTAAATATTTACCAAGAACCAATTACGTGTCAGGCTCTATGCTAGGTGCCAGAGTTTGGGATTACCAGGTGGTGGCATTTGTCCTTCATTCCCCTTCCCAGTCCCACCCCACCTGTTGCCCTCTGGGCCACCCTTCTGACACCCTGAAGCTGCTCCCTGTCCTCCCTGCTGGTGCTCTGACTTCCTGGCCAGCTCTCCTCCAGCCTCCGGGGGGGGGACATTAGCCCTGGTTACCCACAAATTACCCTCCTTCCCACCAAAAGGAGGATGGACTCTAGACCCACAGCCCTCGTAGGCTTGGAGACAATCCCACAGCCTCCTCCCGAGGTCCAGGCCTCCTGATAGGCCTGCCTCTGCCTGACAGCTGAGTGCCAGGCCACCCTCCCCACTGAGGCATCCATCCGCCCACCATGTCCTGGGCAGCACTGCCCACTAGCCAGGGCCTGCTCACTTAAGGAAATCTGCAATCTTCTAACTCCTTGCCCAGGACGCCCCTCACAAAGTGCCAGCAGGGTTCTTACTGGCAAACGAGAATCTGCTGTAACTGTTTTAAGCAAGAAGGGAGTTTATAAAAGAGCACGAGGCAGCTCACCAGATTTCCGGGGGGGCCCGAAAGTCAGGAGAAAGACTGGCAACAGGGGCGTCTGAGCTGCAGCACAGATGTGCTCCAGTGTAGACCTGACTCCGGCTCTGCTGGGCCAGATGTCACAACTCACACTGCTGACGCAGGGCCCCAGCCCCTGGGGCCCCCAGCAACACTGTCCCCAGGAGCTCCTTGCTGCCGTCACTACCTCACCCTCACTTCCATATCCCAGTCTTAGATGAGAGGTGCCCTGTCACATGCCGCCACCACACAACAAGGGGGCTGGGACAGAGTTTTCTAGTTCTCCTTAGCAAAGCCACCAACACAGGAAGGATTTCTAAAGGATGATGTGCAGGGAAAACCAGGATAGGTCCCCGCTGTGGTGGGGGCACATCTTCTGCCAGGGCACCAGCTCAGCATTCAGGGAATCAGGCTTTCCTCTTGGGACGTGATTCCCTGCTCCGTCCCTTGGACATGCTCAGGGGATCCTTCCCCAGGAACACTGGCTTCTCCCTCTTGTCGTCCTCCTGTACCTCAGGTAAACCCTTATCACAGTATCTATGAAGCTTCAGGGCCCCTGGCGAGGTGGTGAGCAACTTAAGAGCCCGGGCAGTCAGCCTTCCTCCCTCTGCGCCTAGTGCCTTGCACGGAGTAGACCCCAGGGAGCGTGGGACGGGGAAGGAATAGACTGCGCCAGCACCGAAACGGGACTGCCACGTGTCTTTCCACCCCCGGAGCCTGCTGCCTGGTCTGTCTGGGGCTCGGTCCTGGGGACACAGCTGGGGCTGGGGGCACGTGCCAGGGCAGCGGGGCTGGGGCTGTTCCTGGGTGTTGCGGTGGAGTGGGGACGTTGCCAGCGGCTGCCGGCGCCCCTGACCCTGCATGCCCTTGCAGCAGTACACGGCAGTGAAGCAGGAGATGGAGCGGCAGATGAGCCTGGGGGAGCTCTGCCACCCCGTGGTCCCCTCCTTTGAGCCCGTCAAGAGCTTCTTTAAGGGATTTGTGGAAGCCATGCAGAGCGTGTTAGAGACACCACTGGACGTTCACCTGAAGGAAAGTAAGTCATTGTGTGACCAACCTGGTGTCCTTAACTCCCCTGGGGGCCCTTAGCCCAGAGCCACTCTGTCACATCTCTCCCACACAGAGGCCCTCTGCTAGGTGCACAAGGGCTCCTTGGCCTAGGCCACACCTGCCCTTCTGAGTTCCCCTCCTGAGACCACATCCTGTCTCCCACAGCCTTACTGATCTGCCTCCACCTCCAACTCACTCCCAGGGGTCTGACACACTGCAGGAACAGACGCATAGAAAACTTAGATGCTTTACCTGAAATGGGCTCCCAGCTGAACATTCTCAGTAATTAGCTTGACTTTTCTAAATGCAACTTCCTCATTCTGCAGGTCAGCAATGCTCACTTCAAAAAGATGACCCGTGAGGCCATCAGAAGCAATTGTGTTTCCTTGCTCTGGGCTCCCAGCTGGAATGGCCAATTCCTCCACCTCCCCTCCCTCTGCCTGGCTAGGTCCCACCTTCCCTGCAGGGCCGGCACAGCTCTGCTCACCTGGGAAGCCTCTCCACCCCACACCAGTCTCACTGTCTCTCCTGGCCAGCTCCCCTTCCAGGCCCTGCCCCAGCCTCTGCCTTTGGGTGTTTGTGAGCTGAATACATATGTAGACCCCCTCCCTGCCTCTCATAAATGCCTAGAGAGCAAGAACCACTTTGGATCCTGCTCTGAGGTCCTTATGGGGCCCGGCACAAAGCAGATGCTCAGAAATACCTTTATTCATTCATTTACTGGTTTATTTCTACTATTATGGTTCATTCAGGACATTTATTGAGCCCTTATAATAAGCCAGGCACACACAGCAGGGTCCAAAATGAAGGTCTTGCCTTTGTGGCTCTCAGTCCTTTGGGGGAAAAGAAACAGCAAATATAAATGAATATATGTCAGCAATAAGTACTCTGAAGATAAATAAAGCAGCGTAAGGAGAAAAGAGGGTACCAAGAGAAGGAACTGTTTTATATGGGGAAGAGGGAAAGCATCTCTGAGGAGGGGACATGTGAGCTGACTTGAAGGAAGCCTTCTGCAAGCTCTGCAGCTCTATAGTTACAGAGAACATAGCAGGTACACGCATGGATTCTGAAGCCAGATGTCCAGGTTCCTATCCTAAGTCCATCACTTCCTAACCCTGCCATTTCAGGCAAAGCATCTAAGTTTTCTATGTCTCTGTTTCTACATCTAAAAATGGAGATAATAGAGCCCCCTTTCATAGGGTTTTTGTAGGATTAAATGCATTATTACATGTAAAGTACTTAGAATGGTGCTCATGTATAAGTGCTATGTAAGCATTGGCTGTTATTGTTGCTGCTTTTGTTAGAACTGTGGTAAATGTCTTCTAGGCAGAGGGGAAAGCAAGTGCAAAGGTCCCAAGGCACAAGCAAGAGTGAGTTTGGCATGTTAAAGGGACAGCAAAGGAGCCAACAGGAGTAGATGTGGTTGGGAGGAGGGAGGAAAAGAGAGAGTGAGAGATACGAAGTTGACTTCAAGAATTTGGGCCTGAGCAACTGGGAGAAGGAAGTTGTCATTTTCTGAGATGGGAAAGATCATTTAAAATTGGAGGGGATGGCCCTTTTGGATCTCTGGGCAGCACCCTGGTGGTTTGCAAGAACAAATGTCTGACAAAAGGTGGCAAAAGAGAAGCCAAGAAGAAAGTGGTTGGTCCATTTTCTAAGATAGATTGGTATGATGGGAAAGCACCAGCTGTGTTCAATGTCAAAACTTCTAGGGAAACACTATTCGAGAGAACCCAAGGAAACACAATTGCTTCTGATGGCCTCATGGGTCATCTTTTTGAAGTGAGCCTTGCTGACCTGCAGAATGAGGAAGTTGCATTTAGAAAAGTCAAGCTAATTACTGAGAATGTTCAGGGTAAAAACTGCCTGACTCCCATAATGTGAACCTTACCCATGACAAAATGCTCCATGGTCAGAAAATGGCAGGGATGGAAGCTCATGTTGATGTCAAAACTATGGATGGTTATTTGCTTCATCTGTTCTATGACAGTTTTACTAAAAAATGCTACAGTCAGATTTGGAAGACCTCTTAACACTCAGCACCAACAGGTCTGCCCAGTCCAGAAGATGATGGAAAGAAATCCTGACCTGAGAGGTGTAGACAAATGGGCAATAAATTGATTCCAGACAGCACTGGAAGAGACATAGAAAAGGTTTACCAATCTATTTATCCACTCCATGATGTCTTTGCTAGAAAAGCAAAAATGCTGAAGGAGCCCAATTTTGAACTGGGAAACCTCATGGAGCTTCATGGAGAGGGTAGTAGTTCTGGGAAAGCTGCTGGGGATGAGATAGGTGCTAAAGTTGAGTGAGCTGATGGATATGAGCCACTAACCCAAGAAATCTGCTTAGATTGAGACTTTTAATAGTGACAGAAAGTAGCCTTAAAAAAAAATTGAAGGGAACAGTGTTTGGACCTGTCACGTTTGAGTTTGACCTCCTACATGATGATAGCAAATGGGCAGTTGGATCTATGATTCTAGAGTTCTAGGGAAAGGGAAGTGTTCACTAGCGAGGGATTTCCCACAGATCATCCAAAGGCCACTGTGATGGGCCCTTTGAGAAAATAACAGGGGCAAGAAGGAGAGACTTCCACCGGGTGGTCAGGGGAGGCAAGTCCAGGAGGTGGTCATTCCGGCTCAGACAGCTGGCAGGGAGGCTACATGGGCAGGGCCTGGGGGGAAGGCTCCAGGCAGAGGGAATGGCTCATGCCGAGGGCCTGAGATGGGGGAGACCTTGACAGATATTTGGCACAGAGAGGAGGCCAGAGTGACTTGGCACAGTGAGGGAGGGGAGAATGGTGGAAGTTGAAAGGCACCTTGTCAAATGGGGTCCTGCTGCATGGCACTACCTCTGTACACAGGAGAAAAAGAGAGGGACAGGGTGAGAGCAAGTGAGGCAGAAATGCTAGCAGCATCCACTGAGCACCCTCTGGGACAGAGAGAGAAGTGGGCCAGGCCCTGGCTAGTGAGCAGGCCGACTTCGTAAGGTGAGTAACAAACAGAGACAGTTAGAGGCCAGGGGAGCTCAGAGGAAGAAGAGAGTGAATCTGATGGGGAACCCAGAAACCTTCCTGGAGGAGCTGGCACTTGAGCTGGTCCTTAATGATTCACTGAGATTTTGAGAGTGGGAGAAAAACAGCAAAGACATTTCAGACTGAGACAAGAGAACACCAAAGAGGTTCAGGACACTGAAGTGTGCAGTGGGGCTGAGCAGAGGGTTTTTCCAAGGTAGATTGCTAAAGCAGCCTTTAAATCTTCCCTTTAAAAGGAAGTAGATGGTCTTCCCTTTACTCACAACTTCCACTGGAATTTTGGATACATAGTCCGACTGAAAAATTCTTTTTAAGATGTAATTATTGACAAGGAAAATCACAGGTCAGAATCGTAGCAGTCAATATATCTCAAGAATTAGAATAATAAATAGTCAAATATGGAAAAAAAGAAAAGACTCTCTTTGGAGTCAGCTCCAGGAAGCTTTGGGCTTGTCAGTATCCCCTGAGTGGGCACTAATGTCTCCCTAACCATCCTTGGCAAGAAGTTATTCAGATGGACTCAAAGTGCAGTCACCCACATTTATAGTCAGTGGTCCATTCCCAAGAACTGGCAGTGCATGCTAACAGCTAACACTTGCTCTGTGCCAAGCATTGTTCCAAGCGCTTTCTGTAGATTCTTCCAGTAACTCACCACGACCCTGTGAAGTAGGTGCCTTCAGTATCCGCATTTTACAGATGAGGAAGCTGCAGCTCAGAGAGGTTAATGGACTTGCCCTAGGCTACACAGCTGGTAGGTGGTAGAGGCAGAATTCAAACAGACTCTGGTCCCAGGCTGTGTATTCTGATCCCCTGGATTCTGCTTCCTCCCAGGCCATTACCCCTCACTCAGCTTCAGAGGAGGCCATCATTCTCATTAACACAGACAATACTGAGAGGTGCCGACTTCCAGGAAGGACCTAAGGAGATGGGGCTCTTGCAGCAGCACTGCCCTCCCAGTGGCCTGACACTGTGTATTTCAGACACTGCAGGCTCCACGGCGCTGAAACAGAATCCAGCATTTGCCCTGCAAGCTGCTGCTGCTTCATTCCCCTCCACTTTTCATTCCCCACTCCCGGTAACAGTTTAAGCCCTGGCACTTCGCCACTGCAGTCCTTCCTCAGCCCCTTTTCCATCCCTACTACCCCAGCTCAGGCCTGAGCCTCCTAGCAGGGCCTCTGACTCCACTCCCACCCCGTCCAGGCATTCCCCCACCAGAGAGAGCTTTGGAAATCCTTTGGCAGATGTCTCCCCCAGCTCAGACACCTTCCATGGCTGTCTCCCTCCATTCCATTCCTAGCACCTGCCCTTAATGTCTCTGCTCCCATTGCACCCTCCTGTTGGGAAAGCCTCCCATCCTTTTTGTCAGGGTGTCCAAATCTTCCTCATCCTTTAAAGTCCAGATGAGGGGCTTCTTTCTCCATGAAGTCCTTTCTGATTCCTCCAAGTCCCAGAGCCCTTTCACTTCTTTCCTCTGTGACCTGGAGTGCTCTCCGTCTTGGTGGTGGCTCAAGTGAGCCCACTTCTCACCTCACTTACCTGAGTGAGCTGTTGAAGACAGGGACCATGGCTTGGGTTTCCCCTGAACTCCCTCTCTCCTGAATGAGACCTGAACGTGACCTTTCTGAGAACTCAGCTTTAATTTCTTGTCCATCTTTATCCTGGAGTTTGCATTTCTGCCATGAGGTTACCCCCTCCTTAGCTGTTGAATACATCACTGAATCTCACAAGTGTCCTTGAGCCTGCATTCTCTTTCCCCAGTTCCGGGCTCGCTCATGCTGGCCTGCCCTTGCTGAATTTGCTTTGGACCTTGGAAAGTGCATTTCTCCTTAGATCTGAGTGTTGTCCTTTGAGTATTCCTGTTGCTGTGGATTTGAATTTCCTGCTTAAATTTGCATGTGATTCTTGGGGAGAGATTATAGGAATCTCCAGTTCTGTAATATTTTAGTATGTTTGATAACTTGTGCTGCTTGCATGAGCACCAGGCACTCATTTCTCATGTCATTTGTTACAGACATGAACTGCCAGCTCTTGGGCTCTTCCAGCACCAATCCAGTTTCCTTGTTGAGAACAAGCCCCTCACCTGAGCGATCACTCTTCTTAAAATGTAAGATTCCGAGAGCAGAAATGGGGAGAGGGTGGAGAGGATGGGGGTGCATGGGTGGGAGGGAGGCCCCCTGTTTTCTTCCTAAAAGATCTATCTTGGGTTTTTAAAATATTTATTAATAGTTTTTAAATACAGAAGTAATACATGAACATTGCAGAAAAATTAGAAAAGCAAAAAATTTTTAAAGAAAAGTCATTCATAAGTTACTCTCCCATAGTTAACTATACATGTAGTGCATGCTTATAGAAATTGCCTTTCCAGAGGTAAATGCTGTTAATATTTTGGCAGATATTTTTTCAGACATTTTAAAATCATATATGTGTAAAGTATTTTTAATGGAACATATTTAACAATATATTTAATAGTTTGAATAATTTTCAATAAATATAAATATCATAGTTATATTTAAAGGATGCACATACTCCATTGAATGAATATGCCATATTTAACCAATCTCACAGTGTTGGAGAGGTAGGCTGCCTTACATTCTCATTTCTACAAAGTGCAGCAATGAACATCCATTCTTGTACGTATTTGTTGAATTAATGAGTAAGTGAATAGATACAACTTAGCTTAGTTTTGGATTTTTTTTTAGGAATATTTTCTCAAAGTGGAATTTACTGGGCATGTGTTTCTTAAAGTAAACTTTGAAATATAACATACATAAAGGAAAGTGCAGAAAGCAAAGGGGTGCAGCTCAATGACTTTTTTTTTTGCTATCATTAATCTACAATTTTATGAAGAACACTATGTTTACCAGACTCCCACCCTCACCAAGTCCCCCCACACACTCCACTACAGTCACTGTCCATCAGCGTACAGCTCAATGACTTTTTAAAAGTAAATAGACTATAACCTCCTTCAGACCAAAAAATGGAAATTTACAGCTCCCAGAAGCCTTCTTAATGTGGCCTCCTATTCGCTACCCAAGGGTAACCACTCTCCTGACTAAAACACTGTAGGTTAGTTTTGCCTGTTTGTGACCTTTATATAACTAGATCATTCAGACTATGTTCTTTTGCATCTTGCCTTCTGTCATGCAACACAATATTTATGAGATTTATCCACATTGTGTGTAACAGTGGTCTGTTCATTTTCACTGCTGTATAGAATTCCATTGTATGACTATAACACACTTTATACTATTGAAGGATATTTTGGATTGTTTCAATTTTTTGCCTATGGTGAATAATGTTGCAGTGAACACTGCTGTGCATGTCTTTTGATGCACATATGTATGCATTTCTGTTGGGTGTTACCCAGGAGTGGGAGAACAGGATGCCCTATAACCACTTCTGTGCAACATTGTCCTAGTTCTAGATTGTTCCTTGAGGCAACAAAAAGAAATGAAAACTATAAAGATTAGAAAAGAGAAAAAAATGATTATCCATAGGTGACATGATTATTTACAGATAAATTAGAATTACTAAATGAATTTAGAACAGCTGTTGGAGGTAATGTCAGTATATAAAATCAATTGTATTCTATATATTGGCAATAAACAATTAGAAAATTAAAATTTCAAAACATTTTCTGTAAAATTTTTTTGAACTAGGAATAAATCTAACAAAAAATATACAAAACTTCTCTACAGAAAACTCCAAAACATTTCTAAGAAAACTATTCGGCAGTATCTACTAAAGCTGAACATCCACATACCCTACAATCTAGACTTTTTTTTTTAACTTCATATCTACATATGTGGTGTAATGCAACAAGAACTATTATTGGGACTTTAAACCACTACCACCTTTCTGGAGGAGTTTGGCGTTATATAACAAGGACCTTAAAAACAGTCATCTGCACTGACCCAGCAATCCCTCTTTTAGGAATATATCCTAAAGAATTAATCAGAAACATAAAGATGTATGTATTGTTTTAAAAAAATTTTTTAAGCCTAAATTTAAAAAAAGGTATAGTAAAATATAATACATTCATACATCATTAGGGTAGCCATTTAAATGCTCTTACAAAATCATATTATTTGATGTGGCACAAGTGTTCATAAATAATTTTTTTAAAGTAGATTACCTAAGAGCATGTATGGTATATCAATGTTAAGAAAAACTATAATGCGGCAAGTAAATTGTAAGGACATACACCCAAGTGTAAATAATAGTGACAAGATTTTCTGATTAAATTTTCAGAAACTGACAAAAAATTCCATGGTGCAAAATTCAAACAGTACAACAGGTGTACAGTAAAATTTTATCTCCTTCCCGTGTCCCCCAGCCCTCTACAGTCCAGGTTAAAAGGGTGGCCTTCCATTTCTCCACGGGCGATTCCCGTGTTATCCCGTTTTTCACAGTGAGCTAGCCCGGGGAGCGCGGGCGGGGCGGGCGAGCCGGTCAGTTTCCCGGGGCGGGGCGCCGTGGAGGCCCCGCCCACCAGGTTGCCTTGGTGTCCCCGCCCTCCGCAGACGCGCGCACGCCTACGCTGGATCCCGACACGATGCACGCGCTCCTGCGGCTCTCGGCCGACCGCCTGACTGTGAGCCGCGGGCTGCTGGGTAGCTTTGGGCCCACGCCCGCGCTGCGTTTCGACAAGCTGTGGCAGGTGCTGGGCCGCGACTGCTTCGCTGCTGGCCGCCACTACTGGGAAGTGGACGTGCAGGAGGCGGGCGCCGGCTGGTGGGTGGGCGCGGCCTACGCCTCCCTGCGCCGTCGCGGGGCCTCCGCCGCCGCCCGCCTGGGCTGCAACCGACAGTCCTGGTGCCTCAAGCGGTACGACCTGGAGTACTGGGCCTTTCACGACGGCCACCGCAGCCGCCTGCGCCCCCGGGACGACCCCGACCGGCTCGGGGTCTTCCTGGATTACGAGGCTGGCGTCCTCGCCTTCTACGACGTGTCGGGCGGCATGAGCCACCTGCACACCTTCCGTGCTGCCTTCCAAGAGCCGCTCTACCCGGCGCTGCGACTCTGGGAGGGGGCCATCAGCATCCCCCGGCTGCCCTAGTGGCCGAGACCGCAGTGGCCGCCCGAGGCCCTCCACTGCTCTAGTCTCACCCGACACGGACATGACTGGTCTACTACCTACTCTCAGCACCTCTAGCCTTTCCCCACCAGTCATGCCTTGTGCTCTGAACGGTTCCTCTTCTAGGCCTGTTTCAAAATGTCCTTAACTCATGTCCACTGTTGCTGCTGTCTCACTGGACCTCCCTACCTACACCGGGGGACTTAATACAACATCTTTTTTAGTCCGGGTTCCTGACAGGACACACCCAGGTGGGCCCTAAGCAAGCCTCTTGACCGTGTTAAGAGTACATTAGCCTTAGCCTCCGGACCTCCCTCGTACAGAATGCAGAACGTCTGGCACATAGCAAGTGCACAATAGTGTGAGTGGGTCACCCAGCCCTGACTTCTTTAATGTTCCTTGGCCCTGCCTCCTCTCAGCTTGTCCATGTCACCTCCCTTCAGAACACTTGCAGGAGCCTTTTAACACCTCCTGGCCTAAACGCATTCTCAACTCTACAGCTAGTGATCTGCCTAAAACCTCACTTAAGCCCTTAGAATTATCCAGAGGTTCCCAAGTACTACAAGGAGAAAAAAACAAGCACTTTGTCTCAGCATTCAAGGCTTTTCTAATCTACCCCCAAATTAATCTTCACCTAGCTCCCTACTGCTTGCTTCAGAGACCCTCCACTCAGAACTGTGTCACATAGTTTCATCTCTGCAACCTTAGTTGTGTCCTCCCCCAGTAGTGCCTCATACATATAGGGAAGCCCATTTGCCTGTCTCAGTGGCCCCCTGGCTTAACGTGCCCCAGGAAGTTTCCCCATGCCACTAGAATCTATCACAGCCTAATCTAGGACCTGTCTTTCCCACATTGGAAGCCTAAGAGCAGCTGTGTCCTGCACAGTCCTCATCATGAAAGGTTCAGAAAGTCCCTTCCCTCCCAGGCAGTGAGTGAATGACCAGCAGCTGGCTATTACTGAATCACAGCACAGATCACCCAGCCTGATACTGCACGTTTGGGGAGACTAAGGTCCTGAGAGAAGGTTGCTTAGTCACCCACAATGATAAAAGGCTGGTCCACCCCTCAACCCTGAAGCAAGTGATTTACTTGCCCCGGGCCTGGCCCTTTAGGCTTACCTTTCAATGGGGGAGATTTTATTGCTCATTCATTTCTCAGGGGATGTTGGGAAGAAAGCAGGTGACTATTGCTAAGCAACCACAGGCAGTTTTCCCAACTGTCTTAGAACCAAAAGGAGATGAGCCATGAGTGGGGTTTGGGCAGCCAAGACATCCCCATGCTCCCCAGATCCAGGTGTTGCCAGAGAAATCCAGAGAGCCCCATTTTCTGAAAAGAAGTGACAAAAATAGAAAAAGCCAAGCCAGCAGGATCTCACATGGAGGACAGCTCCTCTAGCAGGAGAAAGGCGTCTTTCCTGTGTTTGTGCCTCCATTCAAAAGGTTCAGCACCCTGATTTGTCAAATTCCCTGAACAGTTTTGAAGTCACACTGTGTTAAAGTTATCTTCTTAGGTGCTTGACAGGAGGACAATGGTAGGGTGAGGAAAACGCAAAGCTGAATTCCCCATGGTTTTAACAGACTCAGTAGTTAGAAACATAGAAAACTACCTATTTCTAACAGTTTCTGACCTAAAAATGGCACTAGTAGGTGATGTAATGCGGTGATGTAATGCAAGTAAACACAAGACAAAAAGAACCTTAAATGTGCCTTTAGTTCTAAACAAATAATTAAAAACTCTAGCTGGATAGATGTCTAAGCACTGTACTTCAGCTAATCGTGAGAAAAGGTAAATTAATTCTACTGGGGATGGCCCTGAGCTGAATTCTGATACCACAGAACAGCTAAGTTCTGTGGCATTCCTGACAGAGGAAGATGGATAGACTTGATCCCACATCTCTATTTATCCCTTCAAACCAAGGCTTATTCCCAGATGCACAGCCCAAAAGCCAAGAAGTAATGGCCCCTTCAGTTTTCTTAGGCACTGTTCTAAAGCTTTACAACTACTAACTTATTTGACACATCATCCCTAGGAGGGAGAAGTTACCCAATTCTACACATGGCAAAACAGAGACACACAGTAACTTGTCAAGGTCACTCAGAGTGGTACTGGGGTCTGGGCTCATGCCCACCAGGCCACACCGTCCGGGTGAACGCCAGCTGGTCGCAGCCAGTGTCTGCTCACTGGCTCTTGTTGCACCCCTGATGTTTTGCTTTTGCCTGGTTACGGTGGGACTTGACTCTTACCTTTGTACTACCTTCCTTGGGCTCTGAGATGAGGTCTTACCCCCAGAGCGAGACTTGTTTTCAGAGTCTGAAATTCATGTATGACAGACAGAGCTGGACTATGAAGCACAAAAACTGGCTTTTGCCAAACACCTGCTCTCTGCCAACTCCTGCACTAGCCAGAGCACTGCAGTTGTGGCTCACCATCAGGTGACCACGGGCTTGTCCACTCACTTCTGTGTTCCGTGCAGTGGGGGTAGTGACCATGCCTGCCAGTGCTGGGGGGCTCAAATGAGCCAAAGGTTATGACCTGTCTTTTTTTTTTTTAAACTATAGTTGATATACAATCTTACGTTGGTTTCAAATATACAACACAAAGGTTCAAGTTACCCATATTATTAAGTCCCTCCCCCAGTACGGTTACTGTCAATGTAGTAAGATGTTACAGAATCACTGACTATATTCTCCATGCTGTACTACCATCTCCATGACCAACTTACATTGTGACTGTGAATTAATTGTGCCCCTTTATCCCCTTCACCCCCACCCCCTGACCTGCCCCAACCCTTCCCCCTTGGTAACCAGTAGTTCCTCTCAGTGTCTATGAGTCTACTATTTTATTAGCCTGTTTTTAAAATTGCAGAGTGCTATAGACATAGTGCTGAGACAACTGATAGTCCCAGCTGCCATCTGGCCCTAGCAAGAGCCTCCTTGAATACTCTAAACACTGAGTAAAGCTTCGTTGGAGTCCATGTCTATAAGGGTAATGATTACTTACCTTATTCTCTTTCAGATTTGAATTTGTAGAAATTTCTCAAATGACAGAGCAAATTGCTTACAGATATTTTTAAATGGCAGCAATTTTCTAATATGAGATTTGTTTTAATAAAATATAAAAACAGTCCCTTTTAAATACTGTTCATGCTGCTTCCGATACATAGCTTCCAGGTCTGGATAGGGTCTTGCTCATCTCCTACCCGCTCCACCACTTTCCTGTGGTAGCAGCTGGTTCCTGTCCCTGCACAGTGATGGGGAGTTCACTACAGTTGAAGATAACTAAGTTCTTGCTTATATGGAAACAAACTCTGCCTCCCTGCTGTTCCTATTCCCAGATAGCATCATGCAGCTTTTGGCATTTTTGTGATTGTTCTTTAGCAATACTGAAACCATCTGTGGTCACTTACTTTTAAGGATTTCCAGGATCCTCCCCTGCTATTGCATCATCTCTTCTGTTTCTGCAATTCCACATTGTCAGGGAGCAGGGGACAGTGGTATCACCTGGCTGAGGCACAGCTTAGCACAGGGCACACAGAGGTGGCCCAACAGCCCACACCTAGTGGACAGGAGTCCATGATATGAGGAAGGGACAGCCTGCCCAAGCAGCCAGCTGCATAGAGGGCACAGGAAGCATGAGCAGGGGCCCAGGTTTGAGCCCACCATCTCCTGCTCAGAATCCTTCCATGGCCCCCCCACTGCCACAGAACAAAGTCCAAATTTGCCTTCCTTCCTACCTTTGAAATCCCTTTCTCCCCATGTGGTCACTCCCTACCAAACCATCACCTACTAGTCCTTGGATGCTCTGGCACTTCCCAAGCCTGTGCCCCAAATCCCACGATTCCTCCCCTCAGTCACTTCTCAACCTCCAAGTGCTACCTCTTCCAGAAAGCCTTCTCTGGCCATGCGCCCTCTCCCGTCCACTCCCCCCACCCCCATGGCTCCTGTCCTATGAGCCCAGCACTGCATCCCCAAATGGCAGGTGCTCAAGGATGTCATCTAGACCAGAGTTTCCCAACCTGAATGAGCTAGAGGTATGTCCAGGTATCAGTCCTTCCACCCTCCAGGCAGCCAGGCCCAGCACAAGGTGGCCAGCTGCTATTGGCTCGTGGTTCACCCACACCTCTACACAGGCTCTCCTTTTCTCTGTGCTCTGATGGAAAGCGTGCTTCACATGATGACTCTCCTTACCAACTTTCTCCAACACACTGCACAGTCGTCAGCATGCAAGGTAGGGCTAACACCTGTGACCTCTCAGTTCTGAGCCTGATTCCTGCCCTCTGAGGGAAATCCAGCTGAGGTTTCCAGAGCAGCCTGGGCCCTTCCAACAGTCCAGTCTGCCGGGCCCTGGAGGCAGCTCTGGCTCCCAGCGGGAAACCACCCACTGCACACTGCCAGCCAGAGCCCTGGCCAGGCCCTGCTCTCCCTCACCGTTTCCAGGCCCCAAAACACATCCCTCCACCTCCTCCACACTATGTCTCCTCTTGTCCGAAGTCTCAGCTATTTGCTTAAATGTCACCTTTTCTGCCATTGTGGGAAAAAAGGCTATAGAATCAGAAATTCTGATGATCCACTCAAGACTGGCTTATAGAGAGAAAGGAAAGGGAATAAATACAGCCAGAATTGATGGTATCACACTTGAGTTCTTAGCACATCAATTTTATGGGTTCTCTTTTACACATTAATACAACTCCTGATTCTAACCCTATCCCACCCACACATAGAAACCCAAGTGCCTTTTCAGAAACTGTTTTGGGATCCACAGGAAAAGGGAGGCCCTATACTAACAAGTAAAGAAACTTCCCACAAGGCTAATCATATACATTTGAAAAGACTCAAATACATACTTTGAAACAGATGGAGTTATAGGGAACAAGGTCAAATAAATATGAACAAAGATTAAGAATTTGAAAATACATTTGAAGAGAATCATTACGATTGGTTCAAAAGAACAAAGAAGAGGTGATATGGACTCTCCATGAAAGAAAGGTTCATGCTGCTGTGCAGGGAAGTAAAACAAAATCTTTTTGTTAGCTGGGTTTGAAATTTCATTATGGATTATGGACAGGCTGATTTCAACAATACCACCATTTTTAAAAATCATCACAAGCTGCAAACATCCCAAGCCCCATATTCCCCATCTCCTTTACATGGCTCTCGTTTCCCCGATGCACACACCACCTTCTAATATACTGTGTGAATGACTCACTCAGCTTATGGTTTATTGGGCATCTGTCCCCCATGAGTGACAGCACCAGAGGAAGGGATTTGGACTGTCCACTACTGTGTCCTCAGTACCTACAGAAGGGCCTGGCACATAGGAGGCCTCCAGAGTATTGAAAGAAATGACTGTCGTTTTCCCTTTTTGCTCACAGAGATGTGTGTGCCTTCAGCACTTCTCTGCCCGCCAGACTCCCAACCAACCCCTTCTCTAATACTGAGTGATCGCTCTATAGCAAACTGGACCCAGAGCCTCAAGGAGGCCAAGGGATAAGGGCAATGGACAAGGAGAGACAGTGGCAGGTCTGAAAGGGAGATCTGGAGTCATTTGGGTAAGCTTTGCAGGCAGGCAGGATAGGACCCACATAGCCAGCTCCTGCCCCTCTGTGCACCCACACTGCAACTGGAGGGCAATGTGCTTGTGAGCCCACTTCCCCTTCTGGGCTGGGCAACCTGAGGCCGAGAATGCCGTATTTGCTCTCTGTATTCCTCCAACAGGCTTGACACAGGGCCTGACTCAGAAATGTCTGCTGTCTGGGGACGCGGAGGGGGTGAAAGCCAGGGAGGCAGACCAACATGTCTGCCCCACCTCACCCAGATGTACCCCACAGTACCAGCAAGGCGATTCAGAATCCAGAAAACAGCACTTTATTTCAAGACTTGATTTTTTTGCCATGATTTTCTATTGATTCCTCCATGATAGTGTCATCTTCTTCAATAGTAAGCAGGACCTTCTTGCCCACCAGACTGAAGATGTCTTCAGGAGGGTAGCCTTTGGGCTCACTCACCTTCACAGTGAGCATGTCCAGTGTTAGAATGGTGCCTTCCAGAATTTTCACTTTGGCCACCACAGACTTGCCCAGCTGTGGAAGAAATTAAGACTCAGTGCCAGCCTCACACAAGTAACTGTTTCACATTGTATACCCAAGGTCCCTGATCAGACTGCACAAGGTACCTTGAGAATGGGGGCTCTGTTCTCCCCATTGGTACCTAGAACAGTATCTCACATGGGACTCAGGTGAACTTAGAGACTAGGGAAGGGGCCTTCCCGATAAAGTACATAGGAAAGGGCTCAGGTTATGTAGCCACACACACGGCCAGGTCCAAATCCCAGTCAGCTGGGCACAAGCCATGGCTGAATTTCTCTGCAGGATAGGAGATAATGTCTTGTCCGATGACTGTAAGGGTTAGCAATAATAATATATGCAATCTCCCTGGAACATAAAATGCTCCTGACACATAAAAATTATGTTTACTTCTGTCATCATCTAGTTCAGTATCTAGTTTTACATATGGAGAAATTGAGGTCCAGAGAGGACAGGAAACTTGGCACAGGTTTCAAGGAACTGGAATGAGAACCTAGGATTCCGACTCCTGGCCCACTGCTCTTAAGGGACACAAATTTTATGGCCACCTTGCTCAGTAAAACAGGAATATGAAGGGCTCACAAGACGGTGAGTACAGCTGCTGTTGTGAGGACTGGAAAGGGGGCCTCCTAGGAAGAAGCAGACAGAACGGGCAGGGGAGGGGAATGAAGGAAACCAGAAGCTCATGACTAGCGTTTCTACATTTTGTCCATAAATGCCATTAAGCAAACAGTCTGTTTTATATTACTCTACATTCCTCATGTAAGGGCCAAGGAATCAATTCTGGAATTTAGTGCCAGGATGAGAGGCCTGTCCGTGCATAATTATCAGATTATGCATCCTGTTATGTTTCACTGTTTGCTCAGGGAACCACAAGGCTCAGAACCAAATTCAGCATCAGCTCTCATTCCAGTTTCTGGTACAATTTTCTCCCCTTTTCCTCTATAAGGTAGTTTGTTTCTTTTCACTATCATTCAAATTTTCCAGCATATATCCAGCTTTAACTTGAGGGAAATAAGCAGGCCTCACTAGAATAAAAGATGACATTGCCCGCACCTGTCTGGTGTTTGCGCTTTGCCTTGATCAGAGAGCCCAGAGCAGATTAGGAGTGTCTGCACTCCTGGCAGCCCCTGGACACCTGGCTCTGTGACTCAGAGGCCAAGCCAGGTCTAGGCCACGACTTCCGAGAAGCCCAGGTAGTCAGTGTGCCTGGCAGTGTTTCTTGGCCTCTGCATCCCCTCTGAAGGTCAGTGATGCACAGCTCAAACTGCTCCTAAGGGAGTATTTGCTTCATCCCCCACCAACCTCCCAAGGCAACCTTCCGCCCCCGTCTACCCACCAACCCCCTGTGACAACCCACTGTCCCCATCCACGCAGGGCCTCTCCCACTCAAGGATGCCTCAGGGTATCGTAGGCCCTTCTCCCAACCCCTCCACCTGAATGTCTCTCATGGCCTACCTGCTCCAAGGGATCCCAGACTTGACCTACCAAAGTGCCTCAGGAGGCCCT